TGTTCAGGTAGAGTGGGAGGGAGAGAGAGGAACAGAGAGAGAGAGAGAAACATCGATGTGAAAGGGACACATCGAGTGGCTGCCACCCGCACAACCGACCAGGGCTGGGGACAAACTGCAACCGAGGTACGCGCCCTTAGCGGGAACCGAACCCAGGTCTCTCAGGACCGCAGGCCGACGCTCTAACCGCTGAGCCAAACTGGCCAGGGCTGTTCACCCCATTTAAAGTAATGGTAACACTGAGGCTCAGAGAGGTTGAGAATACTTGTCCAGGGGTCATGGGCGGTGGCCACGTCTGGTTCCGGATTCCTATCCCCAAGGAAAGCCGTGCTGATGCCACTTCCCTGTCCCCTGTCCAGGTACACCTCCCGGTCCCGCTGCTACTCGGAGACGCCGGCCTCCTTCCTGCGCTGGCTGAGCCAGCAGACACGCTGGTCCAAGTCGTACTTCCGCGAGTGGCTATACAACGCGCTGTGGTGGCACCGGCACCACGCGTGGATGACCTACGAGGCGGTGGTCTCGGGACTCTTCCCCTTCTTCGTGGCGGCCACGGTGCTGCGCCTTTTCTACGCTGGCCGCCCGTGGGCGCTGCTGTGGGTGCTGCTGTGCGTGCAGGGCGTGGCGCTGGCCAAGGCGGCCTTCGCGGCCTGGCTGCGGGGCTGTGCGCGCATGCTGCTGCTGTCGCTCTACGCGCCCCTCTACATGGGCGGCCTCCTGCCCGCCAAGTTCCTGGCGCTGGCCACCATGAACCAGAGCGGCTGGGGCACCTCGGGCCGGAGGAAGCTGGCCGCCAACTACGTCCCTGTGCTGCCGCTGGCCCTCTGGGCTCTGCTGCTGCTCGGTGGCCTGGTGCGCAGCGTGGTGCAGGAGGCCAGGGCAGACTGGAGCGGGCCGTCCAGGGCGGCCGAGGCCTACCACCTGGCGGCCGGGGCCGGCGCCTACGTGGGGTACTGGGTGCTCATGCTCACCCTCTACTGGGTGGGCGTGCGGAGGCTCTGCCGGCGGCGGGCAGGGGGCTACCGCGTCCAGGTGTGAGCCCAGGTGCGCGGGTGCCGGCCCAGGGGTATTCTGGGCAGACAAGAGACCTACCAGGCCCCAGGAGCCACGAACTTGCTGGGCGAATCCTCTGGGCCTCAGTTTCCCTCCTCTATGAAGGGAGGGAATAAACTGAAGATTCTTCAGCCTGGACTGTTCTGGGGCGGGGACTTGTGGGTCTCTGGGGAGGGGTATTTATTGATCAAGGTGTGGAGTTTTAGGGGGGTAGGGGCCCCTGCTTTCTCCCTGCTCGTATTTAATCTCCATTTGTACTGTGTGATTAGGATGTAATAAAGAATTTTATTTATTTTCTTTCAAACTTCTCCCTCCACTGCTTTTTTTTTGGAAAATGGAAGGGACTGTGTGGTTGAGAATTGGGGACTTCTGGCTAGGTTTTGGGTTCCAGCTGTTTGACATTAGGATACCCTCCTTCCTCGGGGCCTCAGTGCCCTTGAAGGAAAACAGGAATATTAACCCTATGAGTCAGGTTGTTGTGGGCGTGGAACTGCCCAGCTCCTTATTCATCAATACTTACAGAGCACCCGCCAAGTGCGGACACCGTTAGGCACTCCAGATGGTGTTTTCCTGGTCCACTCAGCTTACTCTCTAGGAAGGGTAACATACCTTCTCTCCTCAAACCCCACCACCTCCTCCCGCAGCGTCACCTTACCTCATTGAGAAAACAAGTGAGAAGAAAACCTTCCAAGTCCCCACCTTCATGATCCTCACTCATCTGCATCTGTGCCCACACAGGCCACCTTCCCGCATTACTGAGGGTGAACTGTCTGTGCTCCGTGCCAACCCCTTCCACTCGACATGTTTGTCTTTTTCATATATATATATACAGGGTGTCCCAAAAATATATAGGGTGTCTGCAGATTCTATTACATTTTGAAAATGCAATGTATTTTAATAAACACTGGCTTTATAATTATTTGAAGTTGTGTATACATTTTTTGGGGGAACACCATATATATTTTAGAGCGAGGAAGGGTGAGAGAAACATCAATCAGCTGCCTCCTGCATGCCCCCTACCGGGCATCAAGCCCACAACCAGGCATGTGGTCTGAGCAGTATCCAGCCAGCATACTTTGGAGCAATAGATGGCATTCAACCAACTGAGCCACATGGGTCTGGGCTCGATATGCTTTCTTCACTTGGTTTTCCGAATGCCAGTTGCCTTACTTTCCATTTTTCTTCTGGGTTCCTCTCAATGTTGCCTACTGCTTAACGTTAGAGAAATTTACCGTCTTCTTATCCATCTACACGCATTTCCTCTGTGCGTCCAGTGCTATGGCACCGAATGCCTCATTCGCACTTCATGCTTGGAGAAGGGACTCCGAAAAAAAATTTTTTTGGGGGGGTGCTTAATCTTCACCCAAGGATATTTTCCCATTGATTTTTAGAGAGGGGGGAGAGAGAGAGAAACATCGATGTGAGAGAGACTTATCAGTTGGTTGCTTCCCACATGACCGTGACCAGGAATGGGATCAAACCTGTAACTCAGGTACATGCCCTTAACTGGGAATCAAACCTGCGACCCTTCAGTCCTCAGGATGATGCTCTAACCACTGAACAAAACTGGCCAGGGTGGGACGCTGAAAAAAAATTTTTAAATGAGAACTCTATTCATTTTTTTAAAATGTTTTGTTTTTTTTTTTTAGAGAAAGATAGAACCATTGATGTGAGAGTAATACATAGGTTAGCTGCCTCCTGTATGCCCCCTACTGGAGATCAAGCCACAACCTGGGAATCGAACTGGGACCACTTAGTCCATGGGACAACAAAGCTCAGTCCACTGAGCCACAACAGGGTGGACTCTGAAATGTTTATCTTCAGATCAGACCTCACCCCTGAATTCCAGACTTCTATACCAAAACTACCTCCAAGACATTTCCGCTTGGATACCGAACTAGACTCAACTTCCGATCCGTCTTCCCATCCTCCTCTTTCATTCCGGTGAAACCTGCTCCTGCTGCAGTATTCCGATCTCAGTAAACAACTCCGGCCGCTCAGGCCAAACATGCTAGAGCCGCGCTGTTTACCACAGCAGCCACTACTACATGGGCGATGAAAAATTTTTTTGGCTAATCCTCACCTGAGGATATTTTTTCCACTGACTTTTAGAGAAAATGGAAAGGAGGGAAGGAGGGAGCGAGGGAGGAGGAGAGAGAGAGAAATGTTGATGTGAGAGAGACACATAGTTTCGTTGCCTTCCACATGTTCCCCAAAACTGTAACCCAGGTACATGCTCTTGAGACCGGGAATCAAACCCTCAACCCTTCAGTGCTCGGGTTGACGCTCTAACCAACCAGGGCGGGACCATTACTTTTTTTTTTTTTCATTTATTCAGTTTTTGATTCAGTCAGTCAAGAAGACATTTACCAAGCGCTTATTGAATCACACACACTTTGCCAGTTTCGCAAATAGTGAAACAGACGAAGAAGAGCCAGAGTCTGCCTTCCAGGAACTCTCAGTTAGGTAAACAGAGTGTGACCCATAGTTAAGGATCACCAGACATATGCCTCTATGGTTTCTGGTGTCACAGGGGGCACGATTTAGACATGTTATTAAAGCTCTACAAAATATTATAAATTTGTCCTGGCTGGTGTGGCTCAGGGCTTAGAGCGTTGGCCCATGGACTGAAGGGTCTTGGGTTTGATTCCCAGTCAAAGGCATGTACCTGGGTTGCAGATTCGATCCCTAGCCCAAGCTGGGGCACATGCCAGAGGCAACCAATCGATGTGTCTCTCTCAGGTCAATCTTTCTCTCTTTCTCTCTCCCTGCCCCTCCCTCTCTCTATAAAAATCAATGGAAAAAATATCCTCGGATGAGGATTAACAACAAAAATATTATAAATTCAGCTCCTTAGTTGCACTGGCCACATTTCACATGCTTCATGGCCACACAGGGCTAGAAGCTCCACACTGGATACCACATTTCCATGGCAAAAGGTTCTACCTCCCGGACATCGCTATTGTCCTGACCACTGATCCTTAGCCCTTCTCTCTCTCTCTTTTTTTTAATTAAATTTTTTAAACTTATTTTTATTTATTGATTTTAGAGAGAGAGGGAGAGATAGCAACATCGATGAGAGAGAACATTGACTGGCCGCCTCCTGCACGTTCCCCCACTGGGGACTGGGCTCACAACCTGGGCATGTGCCGACGCAGAATCGAACTGGCGACCTCTTGGTGCGTGGGCTGACGCTCACCCACTGAGCCACACCGGCGGAGCTTGCCCTTCTCTTTCCTTTCTCTGATACCCAACATCCTGATTTGCTAGCAAATCCTACTGGTTCTCCCTTCAGGACAAATCTGGAACCCCTGCTTCTTCCCTTCACTGTCACCTCTTTGTCCCTAAGCTGCATCTCTGTCCTGGATTAACGCTACTATTTTACGCCTGGATCACTGCCTCCCCACTTGCTCTCAGAAGTGCAAAGAACAGCACATACAAAGGCCTGCAGATGGGACTGAGCTGTGCATGTTCAAGGGACAAAAATAGGCCAGTGGGGCTAGAGGGGAAAGAGAAGGACAAGAGGGAGGTGGAGTCAGGCCGATAATTTCAGTGCTGAGTGCAGAGTTGTCATGGGAATTAAATGAGTTAACACATGTAAAGGCTGTTCAGGAGAAATCATAACTGAGTGAACTGGACAAAAAAGGGAGATTATTTTAGGCAGGAAATAGCACGAACCCTGGTCCTGGAGAGGGTGAGAAGAATCATGATGAGGGTGTCTTCTGCAGTTGGAAATGTCAAAGAAGAGGCTGCCAGAAATCTGGGGAGGGGTCAGAACTTGCACCTAAATCCCTCAACACAGGGCCTGCATTGTGACAGCTATAATATTAGTGTCATTATGGAGGCACAGTTCCCTGGGCATATTTGGGGTATGCTGCCCCTCTTCCTACATAAATTCCACTTTCAAAGATGACAGCATTTGTGGAGTTGAAATATATTCTTTATTCTAGGTGTGGAAAAGGACAAGTAACAGAAAGATACCATTGTTAGTTGCCACTGAAGTACCATCGAAAGAACATCCTGGGGAAATAAGGAGGCAGTTCTGTGTGGGGGAGATAAGTTGGAGAGCAGATATCTGAGTCGTGGAAGTCTGAGTCCCAAAGGTGGATGGGCCTGGACTCCTGGGTCTGAGGGAGGAGGGGCCAGGGGCCTGGACTCCTGGGTCTGGGGGAGGAGGGGCGGGGGCCTGGACTCCTGGGTCTGAGGGAGGAGGGGCCAGGGGCCTGGACTCCTGGGTCTGGGGGAGGAGGGGCGGGGGCCTGGACTCCTGGGTCTGAGGGAGGAGGGGCCGGGGGCCTGGACTCCTGGGTCTGAGGGAGGAGGGGCCGGGGGCCTGGACTCCTGGGTCTGGGGGAGGAGGGTCTGGGGGCCTGGACTCCTGGGTCTGGGGGAGGAGGGGCCGGGGGCCTGGGCTCCTGGGTCTGGGGGAGGAGGGTCTGGGGGCCTGGGCTCCTGGGTCTGGGGGAAGAGGGTCTGGGGGCCTGGGCTCCTGGGTCTGGGGGAGGAGGGTCTGGGGGCCTGGACTACCGGGTCTGGGGGCCTGGACTCCTGGTCTGAGGGAGGAGGGGCTGGGGCCTGGACTCCTGGGTCTGGGGAGGAGGGGCGGGGGGCCTGGGCTCCTGGGTCTGAGGGGGAGGAGGGGCCGGGGCCGGGCTTCCTGGGTCTGGGGGAGGAGGGGCGGGGGGCCTGGGCTCCTGGGTCTGAGGGAGGAGGGGCTGGGGGCCTGGGCTCCTGGGTCTGGGGGAGGAGGGTCTGGGGGCCTGGACTCCTGGGTCTGGGGGCCTGGACTCCTGGGTCTGGGGGCCTGGACTCCTGGTCTGAGGGAGGAGGGGCTGGGGGCCTGGACTCCTGGGTCTGGGGGCCTGGACTCCTGGTCTGAGGGAGGAGGGGCTGGGGGCCTGGACTCCTGGGTCTGGGGGAGGAGGGGCGGGGGCCTGGACTCCTGGGTCTGAGGGAGGAGGGGCTGGAGGCCTGGACTCAAGGGCTAGAAGGACGAGGGGGCTGGAGACCCGGGTCGGAGAAAGGAGAGAGCCAGGCGCTGGGATCCCGGGTACTCACCACGCCAGCAGGGTCACACCGGCTGAAGCTAAGGCTGCGGCGGTTGCCAGCAGGCCCAGGTTGCTGGGCGTCAGAGCCTCAGGGTTGGCCAGCAGCTCGCCCAGGCTCGGCCTCCAGGGTTCGATCATCTCCGCCTCCCGCGGAGCCCAGCGGAGCACCTCCCGAAACGCCAGCTGGAGCTCGGTCTCCCCGCGCGGGGTAGGACCAGTCACTGCGGGGACGCGCACGTCAGCCAGAGGCGAGCCCCGCCCCCGCGCAGCCCCGTCCCCCGCGCAGCCCCGCCCGCACCGTTCAGAAAGAAGTAGAGTCGCGCCAGGGGGAGCTGGTCGTGCGTGATCACGCAGGCGAAGGTCCCACGGTGCGTGGGCTGCACGGGCCGGATCCGCGCCAGGTTCCCCCGGGCCCGCGGCATGTCTCGGAAGTAGGATAGGTCCCGAGTCCGCACCTGCGGGACGCTCGGGCTGAAGCGGCGGGAGGAGCGGGACCACCCCAGGTCAGACTCTCTCCCCCCGGGCTCGCCACCCATACCGTGCCAGCCGCGCCCCCGAGCTAGACCCCGCCTTCTGGAGCCCCATTCCCCCGCCCTTACTCGCCGACCATTCATGCATAGCCCGGCCTCCTGAATCATGACTACGCCCCTAGGGACTTGTATTTGCTCACCCGCCCTGAATAATTATGCAGAATCCCCAAGTCCCGGTCCTGCAGACTTGACTCCTCCCCTAAATGCCCGGACCCTCCCCTGGCATGAAGCCTGAATTTAGATCGAGATCCCCCGAGCCCCACCCCTACGCCCTGACTCCACATCCTCTATGAAGCACAACCCGCCTCCTAAACCCTTCGCGCTGGCCCGGTCCCGACTCACACCTCCTCCTGCGAACTTCCAGGAATAGGTGATCTCCTGTTTGGGCAACTGGAAGTTCACCGTGCACGAGAACATGGCCTGATCACCCCGTTTCACCACCACGTCCTGAACTGGACACGGGGACGCGTCACCGCCTCGGCCCCGCCCTAGACCACGCCCCTCCCCCCCGCTCAGCGCCTCTGGTTCCTGCTCCTGCAGGCCCCGCCCTAGACCACGCCCCTCCCCCCCAGCTCAGCTCCTCGGGTTCCTGCTCCTGCAGGCCCCGCCCCTCACCTGGGCAGTCCAGCGGGAGGTCGCAGACTGTGGAGTAGCACCCCCGGCAGCGGAAACGCCGGGCGACCTCCTGGAGTCCTGTGGGCGGGAACGCTGGGTCTGGGCTCCACTTGCCTTCCCCAGCCCGGTCCCTTGGGCAAGTTAGGGTCTTGGAAGCCTCCCTGGGTTCCACTGGCCCGAGCCTGGGCCCCGCCTTCCCTGCGCTCATTGGTTGGCTCACCCCCGCCTTCTCTGCGCTCATTGGTGGGCTCTCACCACTCTTCGGCCTCGAGGATTTTTATTGGTTTGCTTTGGCTTTCGGACCCGCCCTTTATGCTGTTTGTGAGCAGCGCTGGTTTGACTTTCTCCAGGGTTCTTATTAGCCTCCGTCGGATCTGAGGCCCACCCTTGCTCTCCCACTCGAAGTCCCTTGTGTCGGCCCTGACCACGTCGCTTACCCCCGCAATTCTGAGCTTTGAATGAAGTGCTTACCGCAGGGAGGGATGCAGGGCTGGACTGCGGAGAGAGAGGAAGCATTACTACCCTGGAAGTGTAGGGAGGTGCCCGGAGCTCCGCTAGAGGATGTTACTGGGCTGGACGCTTCCCTCGGAGGGGGCGGGGCCAGGCCTGCTGTAGTCCACCTGGGGGCCGGCCTGCAGCATTCCACTTAGGGGTCAGGCCCGGGTTGCTTATGGCCATCTAAGGGCGGCAGGCCTGCTCTTTGCATAAGGAGGCGGGGCCAGCCCTGGTGTCTTCCACCGAGGGGGCTGGGCTAGACCCTTCCTAATTCTCAGAGGCCCAGTTAAAGAAGTGTGGCCAGGCCTGAAGTAAGTAGCCCATTTTCACAGTGCTCAAGGACATACCCAGACAGAGACCCAGGAAGAGGCCCGGGCTAATCTGGAACAGGAACATCCCCCCAAAGGGATCCTAGGTGGAGAGGAAACCTTCGAGTGAAGGGGCAGGGGCAGATGCCGAGTGGTTCACGGGAAGAAGAGTTGTGTCCCACCCAGGGGAAGCGGTTCGGAGATCCACCAGGAGATTGGTCTGAAGGGAGCGAATGGCAGTCTTAGGACTGTTTTTTATTTATTTTTATTTTTTATTATTGATTTTTTAGAGAGAGAGGAAGGGAGAGAAACATCGATGAGAGAGGCATCAACATCAATCAGCTGCCCCTTGCATGCTCCCCACTAGGGATGGAGCCTGCAACCTGGCGTATGCCCTGACCAGGAATTGAACCAGCGATCTCCACATCAGCCGGGGAAGACTGTTTTTTTTTTTAAAGTTGTGTTTATGTATCTGGGGAAAGGAGTTGGAGTCCATTTTACCTTCTTTAAGCTGTACAATGACCTCCCGTATTTTCTCTGCGGCATCAGGGAAGGCAACCTCAAAGGACCCTGGAGGGTAGACAGTAGAAAGTCTTGTGGTAAAGACTTTCCCCTCCTCCACCCCTTGGACTTCTGTAATGGTTTCTTGCCTCTTCCCTAGCCTTTTACCCCTGTGTCTCTGGTATATACACCATCTCCTCTCCTTACTTCCTCCCACTGCTTATGGAGAAGGCTGACAAATCCCCAATCTCCCTCTGCCGCCTGACCATTTCTCTGATGGAAGCCCTTCTTTATATCAGCCGTGTTATCTTGTTGAGGGGAAGGGGGAGGATCAAGATCAAATTCCTCACCAAGGCTTCTTAGGTCTGTCCTAGTTTCCGTCCACTCCCTATTCCATTCCTATTGTTCATTTTTCACTTTTCCTAAGTGGAAAAGAATATTCTCCAAGACCCCAGGGTCTTTGCACATGCTAGTTTCTGTTTCCAGTACATCTTTCCCATTCCTAGTCATCCTTCATGTCATGTCTTCCTTAGGCAGTGCATACATACATAGGCAGTGATGACTCATTAAGAGTTACAAAAGAATTTGAGAGTTCATAAGAGTTCACCCCTCATATCATCTACTAAAGAAGTTTGTCCTAACCACAAATTTAATTGAGTTCCCTATTTTTGTCTCTTAGTCCTCCCATTCATAGCTCTCATCAGTTTGCAATTATTTATTTTATATATATGCTATCATTTAAAGTCTGTCTCTTCAGTAAACATGACCTTCTTTAGTGCTGTGTCCCCAGAACCCAGGGGTGGGCGCAGAGTCTTAGAAAGTGCTCAGTAGTTACGTGCAGAACTCCAGTATCCAGCTGGGATCCAGCTGGGATGGAAATCACAACTGGTGGTGGCCTGTGGCCCAAATTCATCCCTTGGACGTGTTATATTTAGCCTGAAAAGTGTTAAAATAAAAAATGAACCAGTTGCCCTCCGTAACATTTTAGAAAGGCACGTAAAATGGTTGGCATGTTTTTTAAAAAATTGGAAGAGCTGTGACACAGAGACAGAATTTCCACGAGGCTACAATTAGCTGGAGCTTAGTTAGGGCACGTACCCGACACTTCTCCATAGTCCCCACCTTAACTCAGTTCTACTCTTCCTTCTTTCATGTTCTTGGTCCTTATGGATGTTTGAGTTTTGGCCATTGCAATGGCCTCCCAAACTGCAAGGTTTTGTGACTTTCCAAAGTGCATGGTTGGATTGATTTAGTGGGGGAAGTCGTTTTGGAAATCAGAAATGTGGAAGGGAGTGTTAGGCTAACTCTTCCTAACCCCCATTACTTGGAGATAAAGTCTTAAAGAGCTAATGAAGTTAAAATGAGGTCATTATGATCCATATGATGGATTTCCTCATAATTGGAGGAAATTTGAACTCACGAGCACGGAGGGAAGGCCACGTGAAGACACAGGGAGAGAGGGATGGTCAACAACCAAGGAGAGAGGTCACAGAAGAAACCAACCCTGCTGATACTGACACCTCGATCTTGGACTTCCATACTCCAGAACTGTGAAAACATTAGTTTCTCTTGTTTAAGACACACAGCCTGTGGTAGTTACAGTAGCTTCATACACAGAGATTGCCAGTTTCCTCCAAATATCTATTTCTCTTTAGTAACAGAAGGCTTTATTTCAGCCAGGAAAGCATCCCCAGCTAAGACTACACTTCCCAGCCTCCCTCACAGATAGCTGGGATCGTATGATCTAGTTATGGTCATGTGACTAAGTTTTGGCTATTGAGATACTGAGATACAAGTGGAAGTGTCTTGAGGGAGTAACAGGAAGTGGCCTTAAGGAGAAGTGGTGTTACCTTATTGATCCCTTCCCCGTCTTCCATCCTGCTGCCTAAAGCTTGGATTTGATGGCTGGAGCTCTGTCAGTTACATAGGATCACGAGGACAAAGGGTAACACCCTAGGATGACAGAGCAGAAAGCTGGAAGGACCTTGGGTTCCCAAGAAAATGGAGCTCTCATACTAGCCTTAAGTTACATGGGAGAAATAAACTTCCCACTTGCTTCAGCCATTGCAGGTTCCTCTGTGACTTAAAACCATACATAAAGGAAAAAAACAACAAAAAACAAACCATACATAAAGGGAGTGAAATGAGGATACTGGCAAGAGTGGCTGAAGTGATGATCACTGGGCATAAGCTGGAGAGAGGGGTACCGAGGCCAGGAAGTGGGTTCCAAATGAAGAGTCAAGGACTTAGAGGTCTCTTCTTGGCCACAGAACAGGCATGTGGTTTGGAGATGGCAGGATGATCAGGAGGATGTGGTCAGAGTGGGATGCTCAAATGAAAGGCCAAGATGTTGGAAGGAGTCATCCAAGAAATATCTATGGGCCAAACCAAGTGATTCATAGTGAGGCTGAATGTGGGATATACCAAGTAAGCCATGGGGTGGGGTGTTATGTATCTATTAAACCATGGGACATGGAGTTGAAATGTCCAGAGGCCAAGAGGCAGGGGGTTCTATCAAATGAACCACAAGAGGGCGCCGGCCGATGTTGTGAAATCTCTCCAAGAGATGCCTATGGGAGCTTCCCAGGTTTCCAAAGATCTGGGTTCGAGTTCTGACTCTTCCATTTATCACACCTCACTCACATCTGAGATATCCATCACAAGATCTCTCTATGTGACTTTGCCCAAGTGATTGAACCTTCCTGATCCTCACTTTCCTCCTTTCATAAAATGGAGACAATATCAGGGTCTACCCAAAGGGTTGGGGGACATTTAATGCCATACAACATAAAAGCATTCGCACCCCCACCCCCAGTGATGTGCCAGGTACCATTTAGTGACTGCATGAGACAGTATCTGTAACTGCTAGGAATGGTGCCTGGCACACAGTGAGTGTTACCGAACAGTCAACCTCTTACCATCCTCAAGTTTGAGATGGGGAAAATGAGGCATGGACAGGATTGTAACCTCCTCTCTACATCATATCTAAACCACTCCATGACTTACATGCACAGACAGTATCACCTGCTACCACTGAGAGCCACTTGAAGTCAGCATGTCCCTCTCTTGGGTCCTCCGTCTGGGAGAGACCTGGAAGCCAACCTTGCTTCTTCCTATTGCCCTCCCCCACATACCTCTGGTCCAGCTATCTCCTGGGTCCTGCTCCCTGTCCAGCTGTGCCCCAACTCCTTCATTTAGAAAATGGGGTTATAAACCCCTACCTCACAGGGCTGGAAAGAGGATAACCTTCAGGAGGGTAACTAACATAAATATATCTGTCCGGTAGACACAGCCTCCCCAATGTATGGGGCAGGTTTAGCACATGGTCAAATCCTTGACCTTCCTTCTTCTCCATCCTCATGTCCCACCTCCCTCAGCTCAGACTCACCTTGGTCCACCCGGACACTGCGATGGGCCTGAGCCACCAGCCTCCCTGCTCCTGCCCTTGTCCCCCGTGGCCTTTAGTCATATCCTGTCTCTTTCTCTTCCCTTAGGATCCTCCAGTGCCTTCCCCGTCTCAAGAACAAAAGCCAAAGTCGGTGCAAGGACCTAAGATAGCAGCAGCAGTGCCCTGGCCGGTTTGGCTCAGCGGTTAGAGCATCAGCCCGTGGACCAAAGTGTCTCAGGTTTGATTCTGGCCAAGGGCACGTACTTTGGTTGCAGTTCATCCCTGGCCCCAAGGGGTCGTGCAGGTGGCAACCAGTTGATGTGGCTCTATCACATCGATGTTTCTCTCTCTCTTACTCCCTCTCTCTCCACTGTATCTGAAGATAAGTGTAAAAATATCCTCAGGTGAGGATAAAAAAAAAAAAAAAAAGATAGCAGCAGCACCTAGATTTCTCTCTCTCTCTCTGGTTCTCTCTCTCCCTCCCACTCTACCTGAACAAAAAATGGAAAAATGTCCTCGGGTGAGGATAAAAAAAAAAAAAAAAAAAAAGAAATGTCCATTTCTGGGCCACACCTCAGACTCTGCATTTTAACAAGCTCCCAAAAGATTCTGAGGGTTCACATACGGGGGCTTAAGAATCACTGACCTATAAGGTCGTACAGGATGTGGACTCTTGCTGCCTCTCCAATTTTATCTCGTCTTGATGGGTCCCTCAATAATAACTCCACTCCAGCCCCACTGGCCCCAGGGCCTTTGTACTGGCTCTTCTTCTCTGCCTGGAATGCTTTTTCCCTAGATTGTCTTGTGTGGCTCTCACTGACACCTTGTTCAGGTCTTTGCTCAAGTGGACCTTCTCATTTGCACCTCTCCTGACCAACCTGTTTAAAATGATCACCCAACGGGGCCGATTCCCTTCCCCTTGTTTTCCTCCATAGCATGGTTCACCAACTGATACGCTATAGTATTTCATTGATTATGCTGATTGTCTGTCCCACCCCCTGCAATATAAGCAACCTGAGGGCAGGTGGTTCTGTTTCGGTCATAGCCACGTCCCTGGCGTGGTTCCTGACACATTAACTAAATCTCCGTGGAACATATTGCACCAGCTTCTCCCGGCCTCCAGTCAGTCCTCCATGTGGCCCCAGAGCTTTCTACACCCAGAGCTGACCCTGTCCTTCCCAGCTCACAGGACAGTCTCAAGATTCCCTTATTTTTCAGCTGAACAATGGACCATGTATCTACCTGCTTACTGGAGGTCCTCCAGGTCCCTCACAGTCACTATGTCCTATCCCAGGTCACCATCTACCCCACTGGTTTTTCTCCCAGGCCCCCATCTCCGGATGACCCACCACCCACCCAGACATGCAGCCAAACCACAGGCGTTGTCCTCTAAGCTTCCTCCCCTCCCTCGAACAGCCCATCAGACCCAAGCTTCATCCGACCTGCCCTTGACTCTCTCGGCACTGTCTCCTTCATCTCCATCTTCACAGTCCCCGCCCCAGCTCAGGTCTCCTTCACCCCAGCCTCCATTCTGACCCCACTCGAGACTGTCCCACACACAGCCCTAGAGGGGTCTTGTTCCCCTTTCTTCAGAATCTTCTGGGACAACATGGCCCTCAAGGGGAGAAAGGGCATTTCCTGGGGTCCTGCCCTGATCCCCCATCCCACAGTTCTTCAGGTTTGCCTGGGGGTGGGGGGGTCGCAGCTGAACTCTCCTGCATGCTGGACCCCTGAACACCCACTGGATGGATGGGAACCTCCCCACCTTTGGGGATTTTTGCCAAAATGCTTGGTGGGCAGAAGCAGGAAATAAGAAATAACGGCAGATGGAGAAGTAAGCTGTGAACCCTGGTGGGTGGGCTCAGTGATCAGAGCGCTGGCCCACACACCAAAGGGTCATTCATGGGTTCGATTCCCAGTTAAGGGCACGTACCAGGGTTGCAGGTTTGATCCCTGGGGCACGTGTGGGAGGCAACCAATTGATGTGTCTCTTTCACATCAAAGTTTCTCTCTCTCCCTCCCTCCCTTCCACTCCTCTCTCTAAAAATCAATGGAAAAATATCCTCAGGTGAGGATTAACAAAAAAAAAAAGGAGGTAAGCCATGAGTCCCGGGACCTCGAAGGGCTGGCTGCACAACAGAGCTTGGGCCTCCCTTCCTCCCCCTCCAGTTCCAGTCTCTGGCATGAGGACTATCTGTTCTATCCCAGGAAGATCTCCTGTTTGAGATGTCTCTGCAGGGCCCCTCCTTCTCACTGAGCCCGGAAGCCGTCCTGGGAGACAGGGAGACGCCGGGTAGTAAGTGGAGGTACAGAAGGAGGCAGCGGCATGTCCTGAATTTCACTGCCAGAAGAGCCACAGAGGCCAGAACTCACATCCACCTGACCCCAACTGGGCTGCAGGCTCTAGGTATTTCTGATTTTTTTGTTTTTTAATCCTCACCCGAGCACATTTTTCCATTTTTTGTTCAGGTAGAGTGGGAGGGAGAGAGAGAGAACCAGAGAGAGAGAGAGAAACATCGATGTGAAAGGGAAACATCGAGTGGCTGCCACCCGCACGACTGACCAGAGCCGGGGACAAACTGCAACCGAGGTACATGCCCTTAGCGGGAACCGAACCCGGGTCTCTCAGGACCGCAGGCCGATGCTTTAACCGCTGAGCCAAACCGGCCAGGGCTCTAGGTATTTCTGTACTGTCCCTTTACCTCCTGCCATCATGTTCCTGACAGGTAACTGCCCCATTCCAGGGGCACACCCCCCCTGCATATGCACTCATCTCTTGGGGACTCCAAGCCTCACCTCCCACTGTTGCTGTCCCCACCCCACTCACCCTGAGCAGTGGCCACCTCTTGGAGAGAGAGGGTCATCTGGGTGAAGGAGTCATGCAGGTGGCTTCTCTCATCATAGTCTGGGGGTGGGGGGGGGCAGAGGCTGAGGGAAGCAGCTTCCCTAACACATCACCTGTGTGGACATTCTGATTCTCTGCCCCTCCCCTGTCTAAATCCCCCCGCCCCGTCTTATCCTCCCCTCTGAGTCTCTGTCCCCTTCTCTCTCCTCCCCTGAGTTTCTGTCCCCCCCACGCCCGTCTCTATCCTCTCCTCTGAGTCTCTGTCCCCCTGTCTCTATCCTCCCCTGAGTCTCTGTCCCCCCTTCTCTATCCTCCTCTGAGTCTCTGTCCCCCATCTCTATCCTCCCCTCTGAGTCTGTCCCCCCGTCTCTATCTTCCCCTCTGAGTCTCTGTCCCCATCTCTATCCTCCTCTGAGTCTCTGTCCCCCCCATCTCTATCCTCCCCTCTGAGTCTGTCCCCCTGTCTCTATCTTCCCGAGTCTCTGTCCCCATCTCTATCCTCCCGAGTTTCTGTCCCCCCCCCCCGTCTCTATCCCCTCTGAGTCTCTGTCCCCCTGTCTCTATTCTCCCCTGAGTCTCTGTCCCCCCCTTCCCTATCCTCCCCTCTGATTCTCTGTCCCCATCCTATCCTCCCCTGAGTTTCTGTCCCCCCATCTCTATCCTCCCCTCTGAGTCTGTCCCCCCATCTCTATCCTCCCCTCTGAGTCTGTCCCCCAGTCTCTATCCTCTCCTCTGAGTCTGTCCCCGTCTCTATCCTCCCCTCTGAGTCTCTGTCCCCTTCTCTCTCCTCCCCTGAGTTTCTGTCCCCTCGTCTCTATCCTCCCCTGAGTTTCTGTCCCCTCTTCTCTATCCTCTCCTCTGAGTCTCTGTCCCCCTGTCTCTATTCTCCCCTGAGTCTCTGTCCCCCCTTCCCTATCCTCCCCTCTGATTCTCTGTCCCCATCTCTATCCTCCCCTGAGTCTCTGTCCCCCCGTCTCTATCCTCCCCTCTGAGTCTCTGTCCCATCTCTGTCTACCGGACTGTTAGCTCCATCCTCCTGGCTCTTTCCAGGCCCCTCTGGTCCCTCCGTCTGTATAACCCCAGGGCCCTGAGGATGGCGGTGGGGTCTCCTCACTGATTTCGGTGTCCAGCAGGCCCTTAAAGGCAGCCGTGAAGGCCTCCTCACACTTCTCAAGCTGCGGGCCTTCCAAGCCCACGAAGATCTGGCAGATGCGCAGGCGCTCACTGTAGGATGTGAAGCAGAGGAGACAGGCCCCGGCTGGGGCCCCGAAGATGACGAGGGCCACCAGGGTGCACGGGACAGCACTTGCTGCAGCCAGCTGGGCCATAGCAGAGGGTCTTGGGCTGGGAAGAAGCTGGTGATCTTTGTGAGGTCACTGTGGGATGGGGAGGGGCTTGTGGTCTGAGGTCAGAGGTCAGATTTCATTTGCAGGTCAAAAGTCAGGCTTGGGGTTTTTAGGGAGGAAGGATGTGAGGGGTCAGGGGTCAGGTGTCGGGCCTGCAATCTTCAGGCTGTGGTTGCGGTTGGGCCGGATGCCAGGCTCCCAAGAACCTCACCTGTGATCCTGGACGTCCTCACAGGTTAAAGGGTCTCAGGGACCCAGAGGCCGGCAGTATGGTGTGTGGTGGCCCGACAGGCCCTGGGGTGAGGTATGGGGTGGGTCAGGGACAGAGACGCCGCAGAGGCACTGTGAGTGCCCGAGGGACAGACAGACAGAGAGACATCAGAAAGCACAATGAGAGAGAAAGACGGAGCGTTCGAGAGGCCACGGTGCAGGGACACCCAGGAAACTCCAGAGACACACCCGAGACGGGGAGACAGAGAAAGCAGATGAGAGATTTCTTGATGGGAAAGTCTTTGAGGGGAGGGGAGGGGAAAATGAAGGAACAAGGAAGGACAGGAGAGACAGCCCTGCTCCTCCTCCCAGGGTCCCTGCAGCAGCCCCCTGAGCCCAGCGGGGTGGGGCAGGGGCTAGGGGTCCCCGCCGGGCGGGCGTCCTGTGCAGGGCGCAGCCTGGGGAAAGCTAGGAGGCCGTATAGTGATCTCCGTGGGTGTCCTCCTCAACTATACAACCTCCTACCTCAGCCCGGGGGGCGCGGCAGGTGGACAGACAGACGGATGGACGGACAGACGGGGGGCCAGGAGGGCCAGGGAGGGTGGGGAGGGCCGGGGAGGCCCCAGCTGCGATGGTGAGCCCCCGACACGGACCCACAGACACGAGCTTGTGTGCGGCGAAGGCCCCGCAAGGTCGGTTCTACGGGTGGGTGCCAGGACCCAGGAATCCGGGCCCCCGGCCCCCTCCTCCCCAAGGAACCCAGGAATCAGTCCCTTGGCCCATCCTCACGGGGGACCCAGGAGTTCAGGTCCCCAGCCTCTTCCTCCCCAGGGTCCCTGGAGTCCAGGCCCCAGTCCCTCCTCCCTCAGCCCTGTGAGTCCAGCCAGGCATGTCTCCCTGGGGAAGGCACAGACAGCCTGGCTTCCCGGATGCTGGGTCAGAGGAAACCTCACCTGCTTTTTGGAGTTTGGCCCCTTGGCCAAGAAGGCTCCCTACCCACCTGTCAGATTCGGGAATCCAGGATCAGGCCCAGGCGGGCCAGGGGATTTAAAAGCCTCTCTGGGTCTTTTCCCCCCTCTCGCAACCCTTCTTTTGGCCTCTCAGGAGGACAGCTAGGACACTGCCCCAGGCCTCTGCCATCTCGGCCCAGGGACCCAGGGACCCAGGTTCTATCAGCACGCCCCCACCCCCCATTTTGCAGGTGGGAAGGCTGAGCCCCAGAGCCCAGAGAGGTGCAGGGACTTGGCCCAAGCCAGCCGGTAAGTGGGGGGAGGGGGAGGCTTCCCAGGTGGGCGGCACCCAGCACCCACCCTCCCACCCCTGGGCTAAGAGTCTGTGCACCTGGGGGTCTCTCCCTCTGGCCAGTTCTCTGTCTTGCTCACTGCCCAGCTCCATCTCCATCTTTGCGGCTCTCTCGCACGTCCTGCTGCCGCTGGGCGGTCTCAGCTTGTCTCACCTGGTTCCCATCTCCTCCTGCATCTGTGTCTCTCCCTCTCCTCCGCGGTCCTCGCCTTCTCTCGCGCTCCTCCGCGGTCCTCGCCTTTCACTGACTCCCGCTTTCTTCTCTCTCTCCCTCTTCTCATTCTTTTTCTTTACCTTCCGTCTTTCTTCCTTCCTTTCTCCTCCTCCCTCCCTCTGTCTTTGTCCCTCTCATTCCCTCTCTCCCTCAATTTCCCAGTCTCACTCCCTCGCCCTCCTCCCCTCCCCCTTCTCTCCATCTCTCACCTCTGTCTCCTTCTCTCCCTCGGTCTCTGTCTCCCTCCTTTCCTCTCCCCCTTTCTCCTTCCCTCCCTCCTAGGTCTTTCTCCTCCCTCCCCCCCCTTCCCTTCTCTCTTGCTGTCTCCCTCCCTTCTCCTTCTCCCTCTCGGTCTTTCTCCTTCCTTCTCTCCCTCCCCCTCGCCGCTCCGAGCCAGGTCTGGAGCTGGGGGTGGGGTGGGGGTGGTTGGAGAAGGGGCCCAGGGCTGGGGTAGCGACCTGCTGAGGAGGGGGAGGAGAGGCGGGAAGGGGGCGGAGGAGGAAAGGGGGAGGCGGGGGGCCAGAGTCGGGTCTACGGTCCCAGCTCTTATCCCCCTTCCCTCCTTCCCAACCTCCCAGACCCTCAGGCGGGGGCGAGAGTCAGGCCAAGGTGGGGAGGAAGGGGAAGGGAGGAGGCTGCCCCCGCCCCCCCCCCCCCCAACAACCTGGCCCAGAGCCCAGGCCTGGGTTCCCAGCATGCCCCGGGGCTGCCTGGGGCCTGAGGAGGGGGATGAGAGGAGAGAGGAAGCTGAGAATCTTAAAGATTTCTAGGACCTGATCATCTCCCCACTTCCCCAACAAATTTCTCCTTGGGGAAACTGAGACCCAGAGAGAAGGGTCAGGACTTGTTCAAGGTCACTGGACAAAGCGTTGGTGGAGACTCTAACTCCTTGGGTCCAAAGGCCCGATTTGGGAAAGGGGTTGGCGCTGGCCTTCCCCCAGGTCTTGGTCCCCCTCCCCCTCTCTGCAGACCCTGGGGAGCCCCCAAGGGTCAGAGAGCAGACCCAAACAGTCTGGCACCATGGCAACCAGATGGCCCCGCCCCCTTAACCCCCGTAGGGATGGACTCCAGCTGGGGCTGAAGAGGAGGTGGGGACTCCTGGGTTCTGGGGAGGAAGGGGCTGGGGCCCGAACTCTGGGGTTTCGTGGAGGGTGGGGGCTGGAGTGTGGGCTCTCAAGTCTGTGAGAAGCTGGGAAGCCAGACTTCTGGGTCCTGGGGTGAAAAGGGCTAGGGGTTCGGATTCTGAAATTCTGAGGGAGGGGGTTGGGTTGCGGACTCCCAGGTTTAAGGGAGGAGGGGGCTGAGGCCTGGAATCCCAGGTCCCCAAGAGAGCCTGGATGCAGGGCCTCTCCTCCGCCAGACATCCCCTGCCCCCGCCGCTGACCCTGGCCTGTCTGGCAGCCCAGACAACCTCCCCCCTCCTCCGCGGCCCCCTCCCACTTGCACGGCTCACCCTTGACCCCTCAAAGCCCCGCAGCCTCTTCCCTGCCCCTCCCCCTCCCCTCCAGCCAGACATTAACCCTTCCACCGCCAGAGGCACCTCCAAAGCCAGACTCTCTCCCGGCACCTACCCCCGAGGGCGCGGGCGGGCATCTTGCCCCCTGTCTCCTTCAGCCCCGAACCCGGCTACTCCAGCCCATCTATCCTCCTAGTGGAATCCAAGGGGAGTTCCCCGCCCCCTCCTTCTCTGGACCCCGAATCCAGGCCCCTAGTCTCCTCCTCCAAGAATTCAGGAGCTTGGGTTCCCAACCTACCCCCGCCTTCCCCCCCACCACCAAGATCCCAGCCCTCCGGCTGCCTCCTCCCTCGGGGACCCCGGTGTCCGGCCCCGGGCCCATGCCCTCCCCTTCCGCAGACTCACGGCTCCGCGGCTCCCGCGTCGGAGGGAAGGGTCTCCCGGGCCGGCCCCGGGCCCCACGGCCGCCGACTGCTCTCCATCCTCCGCCCGCCTCCGCCGCCCGACGGCCTCTCCCCTGCCTCAGCGCCCTCGCCATCCTCCTCCCGACTCCCCCGGGCGCCGAGGCCCGGCTCCCCGCCCGGGACCCCGCGGCCCAGCCCCCTCCCCAGGGGGCCCTCGCCCCGGCCCCTCCCGCCGCCTGGCCCAGCGCGCCTGGCTTCCCCCTGCCCCGCAGCTGGCCCCGGTCCAGGGGAAAAAATTCCATCCAGCCCGGAGGAGGAGCGGGCGGGGGAGGGCGCGGGCGGGAGGCCGGCCGGGGAGCGTGACGCAGGGAGGAGGGAAGGGACAAAAGGGGCCGGGAGGCGGCGGGCCCGCGGCGCTCCCACCGCTCCCTCCCTCCGCCTCCCCGGGCCCTGCCTGTCCCTCCCGTCTCGGCTTCTCGTCCCCTCCACCTCTCCTCCCTTCCTTCTCTCGGCCAGGCTCCCAGTCCCGTGCGTTCTTCTCTCTCTCTCCACCCCACATCTCCCCATCAGGGTCTGCTCTCTCCTCTCTCTCCCTGCCTCCCCCTCCCTCCCCCTCCGCTGAGGTCTCCCCCACCCATCCACCCACTAGGGACCCTAAGGTGAATCAGACCCACATCTGCCCTTGCAGACGGAGCTCAGTCTGATGGAAGAGACAGACCCAGACGCAGACAGTTCCAATCCAAGGGCGCTGGGGTATGACCGAGGGAGAGGCCAGCAGCAGCGGTGGGAGCCCAGGGCGGGAGGAATCCTTTCAGCTGGAGACAGCCCCGAGGACCAGCGGAGGAGGCAGAGCTGTGGCATGACCTCCAGGAACAGGGAGAAGTTAGATCTGAATGGCCGAAAGAGAGGGCGGCGGTAAGGGCGTTCCAGGCAGAGGGCACAGCTTAAGCAGAGGCCCGGAGGCAGGAAACCAGGGGCGAGTCTGGGAGAACAGCACAGCAGTCAAGGCTGACTGGAGCCTTAGAGGACAGGCGCCCAGGAGCAGAGACGATGAGGCCGACGTGGTGGGCGGGGCGGGCTGGGAAGCGCTTTGGAGGCCAGACTGGGGACTTTTTCCTGAGATTGAACAGGAGCCCTGGAGGGTTATGAGCAAGGGGAGGGGCAGATCTGGGAGTCAGAAAGACCCCTCTGGGCCCTGTGGGGAATGCGTGGAGCGGGATAGACTGGTGGAGGCTGGCAAACTGGGGAGGAGGATGCCTGAACTGGGGCTGGGACCCTGGGGACAGAGAGGAGGGGGTGGGGCAGTGAATATGTGGAGACTAGAGGGACGGATCACTGACAGGCCCTGGGAGGGAAGACGTGAAGAAGACAACCAGGAGTCTGGTCCAGGATTTGA